CCCCAAAACCCCAAAACCCCAAAACCCCAAAACCCCAACAAAGAAACTTTCTGTTGAAATTTTGGCTTAATGAATTAAAATGTTAAGGTAAAGGAAGTTTCTTTCTTCCTTTGATAAAGCTATGAATGCTGATATCTATTTTAGATTTTTTCTCTGACTGGGTTGTATCGTTTATCTTACTATTCTCATGAGGGTTCTAGAGGGAATATTAGACCAATATTTGTTAAACCAAAGGACAATCTGCATCAAAATGCCATTATAAGCCACTAAGCATGAATTTTACCTTCGAGACAAAGCGCCCACTAAGCGGACTCTTGTTCATTCAGAAAAGAGCTTGATTCGAGCATTGTACTGGCTTCCATGTAATCTTTGGCCTGATAAATATAATCAATGGGTGCACTTACTCTTCTATTCTTTTGATCGCCCTCCTGATTATTGGGGAGTGAGCCTCACTCCGGATGTTCCGGATAATATTAGGATTCGGAACCACTTTTGATGAGCTTTGGTAAGCATTCTATTAATGAAACTGGATTAGCTAAGAACTGTTTTTATACATCTCTGCTCGCAGAGCCTGATCTTATCTTTTTAAGCACAAATTTATCTTAGAATTTTAGGTATGATGTGATACATGTTGGCAACTTACACCAGTATGAAAATTTTGAGATGAAGACTGAATCTTGCTTCTTACCCTCCCACCAGGAGGTTTCAGAGCAGCCCGGATCCGGTGTTTGATCATATGACGATGGTTTCTATTGAGTTTTGATTTGGAGAAAGAGTAATAAGATGTTCTCTTATCATCTCTGTGAAATTATACCCTAGCTTACTTATTTCAGAAGAAGTTCTATCTTACTCTCAGAGGTATTCAGCTGCTCAATCTCTGGTTTATGCAATTTCTTGAGGTATTTCGAATCTGTTTGAGGGCTCAGATTCATATCTAAACTTTATTGGGAGTTATACCTTTCCTAGCTTGAAAGCTTTTAAGAATTTCCATGAGATTTCTGGAGTCTTTCTTGTCCTTTTCAACGCTATTTCTGGGCAATGACTCCTCTAAAGAAAAGGCTAGTGAGGATTCTAATAGAATGCTTTGGCAAACAATATTCGAGAGATGGGGTTACCTGTACTTCATTGTTGGAGCCAGTATTTCAGGGGGCAGATAATCTTGAGGTCCAATCAGATTTACGTTAACTTTCTTATTCTTCCTGAACAAGAAGGAAGGCTTCCTTGAGTGTAGGAAGGAGAGACTATACACTAACCCATTCGTGCTGGAGGAATTTACATCCGTGTCTTCTATATATTTATCAGTTTATCACAAAATATTCAGAGATGTGCATTGAGAGATTTAACAAGATCTTACCTTGCTCTGGAGCTTCACTCTGCTTCTTTCTTTCACTGAAGAGATTACTCTTGATAGCTTTAATCCGGTTTTCATCAGTCATGACAGATTTATATAATTCTGAAAAATTGTTCCTCCTTTCTTTCATAGTTAGAAATTACAATATAATATTTCTTTGGGGTTTTGGGGTTTTGGGGTTTTGGGGTTTTGGGG